AAGTCGGGAGAATTGTTTTGCCCGATTTGTAACAGTTCACAAAATTTTTGGTGGCAAAATTATGCGATTTTGAGTCTTATCTATTCGAAAAAAATTGATTTTTATTTAGTTAGATTTTATCCGATGCGGAAATTTAAACTGTTGAGGTGAATACTCCGAATCTTGTGGAGTAAACTTGTGGGAAAGGTTTCATAAAAATGGGATAAAACTCGACACATAATAAAAACACGACACAAAACACGACAATGGAATGTGATGTGATTTGCAAGATTTCTTTTTCTATCTTGAAATTACTCTCTTCTTTCACAGATGGACTTTCACTTTTATTTTCACCTTCAGAGAAAATGTGTTATTTATAGAGTGATATATGCAAACAAAATTCCATTTTTCATTGAATTCTTGGTTTTTCTTTAGATTTTAAAATTTCCAGGAAAATTTTTTGATTTTGTTACTGTAAATTTTAAACTTTAATCGTTTTTGAAATTGTTGATCCCCAGTTTTGTATTTATAGTTTTATTTTGTAATTAAGTGTGTAAGGACATACTTTACTAAATAAGATAATCAAATATTTAATTAAAACTTAATGAATTTAAATATTTACACAATTTTTCTTGTATTAAATATTATAATGCATACGTCCAACGTCAATTGTAAATTTTATTTCACTAGCTCCAATAAAATATTAAAATGCAGGTCACCTACTCAAAACTTTGCTCACCTTCTAAAAAATATGTTTTATGCATAACCAACACGAATCTTTGCCAGAGAATTAATAAATTTCATAAAAGTTCGTAAATAAACCTAGTTTTTGCACCGAAAAATAATTAATTAATCCATTGATTAATAACTTTAGGTAAAATATTTAAATCTTCCAAACCCACATCATCTCTCATTTCTTTAAGAGTTTTCTTTCCCAAGACGTGAAAACTGTTCGTTTCGGCGCATAAATAAACTCACTAAAATTAAGGAATCGTATTCAAGAGGTGGTTGATTTTTGGTTTATCGAGAATAAAAGTCACTTCACTTTCACTCCTGCTTTCTTTCTTCTTTGATGAAGTGAAAAGAAAGTGGTGGCGGTGGCGGAGGAGGAAAACTCATGATTTGAAACCTTAGAAAGGCGACGGAAGAGGAGAACAGGGTCGAATGAGGACTCCATGAATCGAATGAATGAATGGTCTCGGAATAATAATTACGCGAGAAGAAATATTGGCCCGAATTTGAGAAAAGTAATGAAAATCATGAATTGAAAGAAGAAGGAGATGCTTTTAAAAATTGAGCTCTATTCAGAACGACATGAAACCAAATAAAACCTGGAACACTGCACTGAATAAAGTTTCGCGTAAGTATGAAGGCGGGCTGGGCGTGAAGGATGTCATGGATTTTATTAATTTTGTAAATTATTCCGAATCCTAAATTTCATATTTATCAATGTGATTCCGGTAAAGTTTGAGTTTAGCGTTTTTTTGTAAGAGTAACGCCAAAATTAAATTTTACTGCGGTTAACAAATAATAATTATTTCACAGATTAAGATTTTGAACTTGAGAAATTGATGACATGATAAATTGATATAAGGAAATGGACAAATCAATTAAACCCCAAATTCCAATTTGTTACCCGAAAAATTTGTCTGAAATTCAAATTCTTTCAGAAATATATCCACGAACAAGATAACAATTATGATAAATTTTTTTTATGAAATTTGTTACAAACGATGAATTGACAAAATCACGTAAATGGACCAATCATTAAACCCCAAATTCTAATTTATTACCCCAAAAATTTGCCTCAAATTTAAATTATTGACGAAACATATCCACGAACAAGATAAAAATTATTTATGATAAAAATTTGTAAATGAAACTTGTTACAAATTGCAAATGTAAATGAGCCCAAATTTTTTTAGAGTGTTTGAAAATGTGAACCGTGTTATTGTGCCATTAATTCAATTCTAGAGACTTGATAAATGATCCTGATTCCAAGTTTGGCTAGGTTATGTGATGACGAAGATGCTGTCTGTGTACTGTTTTCATTGGGAAACACCGTGCAGAATTTGAGTTCCTTGATTATCTCTCTTTGTTCCTAAAAATAAGAGCGATGGTGATGTGATGATAACCTTAATTTTGTAATTGTTGTTCAATTTTGAAGCGTAAACAGTTCCAAGTGCCGACAAAGAGGTGGAAGATGGTGGCGAATTAATTAGTTTGCTTGTGACTATTTACTGCCAAATGTGTCAATATGGAAATTAATCTAATGAACAATTAAACTAAATTTTACACATTTTTCACCCGTAGGTCTAATCCTGGTGGGCATTAATTTATTGGAAATCTACATCAAAGTTGAGAGAATCATGTGAACGGATTAGTAACATTTCGAAAATTTTGGGTATTAAAATTATGCTATTTTAAGTTTTATGAAGTAATCTATTCGAAAACCAAACGGGTATTTTCTTGGTAGATTTGACCTGATGCCTAAAATTGCGAGACAAAATAGATACAATCCAAAGAATTTCTTACATTTTCAAAAAAGTGTAAATAAATAAAAATAATAAAAATTTGCATTATTTATTTCACCACAGTAAACAGAATAAACCTTGTTAAATATTATTGTTCATACGGAACCTCCACAAAAACACATTATTATTTACTTGTGGTGAGAAAGAGCACACAATTGAAACCAGTTTTGGTTGATTTGCTATCATCCTAGCAGGGAAAACTATCTCGGAAAAACGAGGAGAAAGTTAAAGAAAGAGAAAGTCAAGCGCGGACGGAGTTGATTCGGTTTCATCTTCCTTTAACAAGAACGTGAGATTTGGTTTGGTTTAACCCTCACGCGATGGGAAAAAATGGAACGGATCCAATTTATCCAAATCCCTCGTGACACCTTCATCATCATGAGGAGAGAAGAAGCTAACTAACCGTGTGAACTTGCCAGGGGACCATTCACAAAGAATGGGAGAGATTTTTGGTTTGAATGACACATGGCAAATGAGGAGGGTTACAATGCACGGTTTATCGAAGACATCTTTTATGTTCTGCTCCTGACCAAATAAATCCACCCGAGTGGAAGAAAAGCCACCTTAATTTCATCTCGCAATGAATTGGGTCTCCTCATTCCGGACATCGCATAATAATCAAAATGGGTTTCACAGAGGATAGAAAATGCTCCCGTTTGGATGGACTGATCCCGATAATCAATCAATTGGAATGGAAATGGAGTCGATATTTTAAAAATAATTTTTACATTTCACTTTTAAAAATTGTAATTGAGCAGCGGTTCACATTATGTGACACACTATAAATAATTCGGTATTAAATATACTTAATTTCCCCCCTTTTTCACTTTTAGTAAAAATTAAGAGAATTTCATCGCTAAATTCTCTGGGTACCATTCTCATATATTTATTAATCCTGATAATCAATCAATTAAATGATGATAAGATGTTAGTAGGTAATGCTATCACTGTCATTTTGATTAATTGAACTCTACTAAAAACTCGGGGTGCTGTAAATATGATAAATATGTGCTGGATTTTATTAATGTTGCCTTTATCTGTGGAAATATTGTATCATCGCATTATTTTTGTGATGGATTTTGTTATTTTCTTTTACTCGAGCACAGCCATCAATTCGACTTTCGGCTAAACTGAGGATGAGTGACGAGCTAAACCGCAATTCATGGAGGATAGGAGTCGACAACAGCGGCAGGAAAGATGATGAAGTCACGTCTCGTAATGTCACGTATTTCAGATCCACGAAAGCAAGCCAAATTCGGACCAAAAATGAAAAGCTTCCAGTTCATCATCGTTTCAGAGTCACACTCTTAAAAATATGGCACTAAAAGTTCTTGGTATCCCGACGTTATGAAATTTACCCCTTAAAAATTTGAGAAATTTGGGTTTTCTAATAGCAAGTTGTCGAACAGTTTATTTGTACAAATGCAGAAATCAAGAAAACGTAATTACAATTTAGTTCACCCACCTTAAAGCAGGTTATTGTGAGATCAAAATTTAAAATAATTATTTTCGACGTCTTAATCCCCTAATTTGAGCATATACGGCTTTATTCCGGATTGAAATAACGTGATAGATAATTTGTAATCAAGTTAAATAACTTCCAAGCTTCATCCATAGCCCTTGATTTCACGAAAATTTCCCTATCTTGCAATGTTAAAGAAATACATTACGAGATAGGAGAATTATTGTGAAATCAAGGACTATGGATGCAGCTTTTGTACTATTTTGTGAAAAAAAATTGAACAAAATCTAGACACCAGATTCGGTTTAATGTTGCAATTTCTAAGAGTGTTCACTGTTCAGGCTAAAAACCACTGCCCAATTTTTTTTTTACTCCGGCCTCCACTAGGTTGGCTTTCTCTGAGCGAATTTCAAATCTGGTTTAGCACTCTCATTAAGAAAACCACGAGCCGAACGGAGGAAAACCACAAAGACCGTGAATTTCTCACTAACTTCGAGCTCATCCTTTGACCCATCTTTGAGTCATGAATACGTAATAATTTAAAAATTTCCGGTCTCCGGTTTGGAGCAGAGTTCCGATTTAGTTAAACTTCACTCAAATATATAAATTAGGGAGAAAGTGGCCATAAAAATTTCAAAAATCCTGATTTTTTTTCTCCTGAGTTCGATTTCTGTTTTATTCCCGGAAACGGGGGGAAGAAAATGCTGGAAAATTCGCACTCCCCGTAAAGGAAGGACAAATAAATGCTCGAAAATCCCCGGAAACGTTCAAAATTTCCGAAAAATGTTCGAAAATTTCCTAAAAATATTCAAAAATTTCCGAAAAATCTTTGAAAATCGGAAACTTTCACCCGCTTTCCCAGCAAAGGGTTTGCACGTTTGCATCACAAATAAACGTTTGTTCTTCATTATAAATACTCTGCCAATATTTTTAAAACGCTGAATTTAAAAAAATCTGTTGCCATTTTAAAATAAACTTTGATGCAATTTTCATATTATAAAGAAAACAAGTTATGAATTACTTACCTTATTGGACGAATTAGTGGCCACGTTTCCATTTAAATTTGCCCCCGATCCCCCACTTTGTTGAGTGATACTGCCCCCACGACTTTTTAAATGTCGGGCAAAAATTTCTGAAAAGGATTCATTCGAAGCCCGACTTCCTCTCGGGTTCTGAACACCTGCACAATTTTCAGTCCCAGTCGCACCAAAGTTCTGATTTTGTGGAGGAAGTGAGTCGAAGGGTTCTTCGTAATTTTCTTGATGTTGGGGGGATGGAGGGTCAAAATAGTCGCCACCAGCAGAGTTGAGGGTGTCAGGGTCGACGTAAAATGTGGACGCGTTTCCGTGATGGGAGGAGGAAGAAGTACCGTTTTTGAGCTCTTTTAACATCTGGAATAAGAAGAATCCCGACATTTTGTAGAATTTTGAAGTTTTTTTTTTGGAAATACGAAGTTTGTACTTGGTCAATTATTTGATAGGTTTAATTTAAGATTGAGTAATCTAATTCTTCATTTGGCATAGGTCAACTCCGGTTTGGAGTTTCAGGCAAAAAGTTATTATTCAATTAAATAATAAGGTCTTCCTGTACGTTTGTAACAAATTCAGATGCGTAAATTTTTGTAAAGTTTTGGTAACGAATTTTGGTAACAAACTTTTAACACCGAGTTTTACTGGTTATCATGATTTTGTTGAATACCATCCACGATAAGAACTGGGCATTTAACCCTTGATCTGCGTAAACTTTAAAGTTTGTACGCTGATTTTTTCAGCAAATTTTTGTGACGTAAATGTGAAAACATTGGCACATTTATGGGTTTTATGATTTTACTAAGAACTGCGTGAATTGCTTTAATAATTTCGTATTGATATTTTTGGAAGGATGGGGACGGATTAAATCTTTGTAATTCTAAGAAAAATACTGAAAGTAACATTTTATCCTTTCAGCCGACTCACTGATTTTGTCCACGTTTTCGTCCTCGTGTACATTCCTTGTCTCTGTTTGTTTACTTGTGTCGGAAATTTATTCTTTTTTGGCAATCTCGCATTCAATCCGGGATTCGGTGCTGCAACCAAATCTTTATTTATTCCGATTTTCTCTTACAACTCACAAGACCTCAAGTGAACCGTGGAATGAATGCGGGCAGGGTTTCTAAAACATCGTGGTTTTTAAATTCGTTTTACCATGCGATTTTTGTATTTTTGTATTTCAAATTTTGAATTCTACAGATCACGGTTATTTTTATTATGTAATTTATGATAAGGATTCCATTGAAAAATATATATGTAATTAACACATATTTTCTTTAGGAAATATCCACTTTAGTAAAAATTATGAAAATTTTTTGGAAGAAAAAAATACGCATCGCCCATATTTCTTGCTAAATTACATGACGGTGACTTGAGAAGGTTTCCCAGTTCAACATCTCTCAAATCAATTTTGCTTGCAAAATGAAAAACGCAAAAACAACACGGTGTTAGAAACCTTGAACACGAGATGTTTGGCACAGCTTGGAAATTCAATTTGATATTCTGATCAAATAAATTATCACGTTTCTCACAAAAAAAATTCTCCGAAAAAGAGCGACAATTTTTTGTGGCGACGTCTGACACGTAGGTCGACTATTTATTGCGCGACAGTCGGTTTGGAGGTGACAAATTTTTCTAAAATAATTATAAAATATTTGGAATCCTGTTCAGAGATTAGTGCTATCTTTGCGACAAGCTTTGTAACTGTGTAAACTTTTGGAAGAGGCATAAAAATTTCGGGGAAATTTCAGTATTTCTCAAAAAAGTCACACTTTTGTAAAATAATTTCACTCAATTTATGTGCATTTACTTCCCAAACGGTTGCATATTTATTCATCATAATTATTTTGACATGGTCTCAGCATCCATGTTAATCCAAATTTTAATAAACTTGACAATTCATTACTTCTGGTATTCACTTGCCTTTATCATAATTGCAACAAAATTAAAATTCGTATTTCATACGCATTTGCGCTTCAATTATTCACGCCAAGTTTTCTAACTGACTCTAAAAGTTGTAAATTTATAAAAAAATCCTCAAATTCTAAATTCACGTTTCAAAATTTCAAAGCGTGTCGCGTAAATATATATTTTATTTTTCAATTTTTCAAGCAAAGTCCAAAATAAAATTAATTTTATACAGGGTATACAATTTGTATTATTTTAATCTATTTAACTTCTTTTATAGAGATAAACATGACAAATTATTCTTTTCGGCGTTCACATTACACTTTTTATATTTCCCATAAAACTAAACCTTCTTCCTTTATTTTTGCATTGTTTGCTTTACATAACAATTAATTTAACAATTGCATAAGATTATGAATCACTGCACTAAATTGCTTGCGTAACTTTATCACAATTTTTAATTTTACGTATAGTGCACAAAAAATCATTAATCTTGTTCAGAATTAGGAATAAAATTGCATTCCAGACCTGCTCAAAGTACAACTACAACTAAAAGTGTCACCAACTCTATTCAGACACGCAATATTCATAAACTTCCGTGCAATTAAGTTTAACCTTTGAAAATTCAGCGACCTTTGCATTTATTTGGAATAATTAAATTTTGGATTGTGATGTCAACTCGACAAGTCAACAATTCAAGTGATCATGCAATTTAATAAAAAACGAAATACATACAATTCACTTCTCTAAAACTCGTGTCCTGCTAAAAAATATGGGACCATGCAAAAAGCACGTGCTCAATTTTTTACGGGGGCCGAAGTAAAGGGACTCACTCCTCCCACTATTAATGGGGCACATGGGTCATCATGGGATGTATCAGAGGTCAACATTCTGGTAAAATTAGTCACATACTTTATGTATGGCCTGTCCGGTAATTCATGAACTCACTCATGAACCAGTCAAAAGTCTACAAACTTTTGTGGTTCGTGGAAAAACATGTAGATTCAATTCATCCATGAAGAGGGTTATGCAGAAATGATTCAATCTATCAATGCGTGAACCAAGTTAAATTTTGTACTGGATATTCCAGCAAAAGTTGTAACTGTCTGTTGTAACTTTGATGGAAAATTGTGTGCACGTCAAGTTCGACCTTGATGAAAATCACTCGGATATGTCTAGTAAACTCGGTAAAATCATAAAATTATGCACATATATAAGAGATTTTATTTAATAGATTCCGTTGTAAAGTTGCACAACTATTTTGCAAAAGTGTAGTAAAATAATTTTAGAAAAGCTACGTATGTTGATTAGGAATATCTGGTATTTTATTTGCGAAGCTTGATTTCTGCATAAAAAGTGAGTTTTATCCTTCACGCACGACCCCCCGGAATTTGATCCTTGCTCTGATTTTGACAAATTCTCCACCACAAAGTTTCACGCTGACCGTGCAAAATTTCTAAACCCAACAAAACGTACGAGTGAAATTATCCAACTGTCAATTCTGTGTGAACATATGTAACGAACGAAGTCCAGTCCCAACCAAAAATTATATTCTTCTATCCTGTTCTTTATTGGATTGGATTGAAATGCAAGTCAATCATTATGTTGAAGTTGAAACTGCACGGGTGTCAAATAATTAAACATTTACTACATACTTTTGAGTATTAAAATTGTGTGATGTCAGCATTAAAGGTTTGCTTTATGAGAGCAAATTTATGTGTGTAACGCAGTAGACGGATTAATAAGGGTTTTCATGACCTTCGTAACTGTGGATTCGTTAAAAAACATTCGTAATTTTAAGTCATTTACAAAAAGAGTAACGTAAAAAATATTTCGTAAAAATTGGTTTTAATTTTTCTTTGCCAAATATCATCGGTTTTCGAAATATCATGATTTTTTATGTTTACGAACTTTTTTTTATCAACCAAAGAGATGCTTTAACCTTGCGTATATTTATGAAGCCTCGTAAACATGGAATTTTCGTATATGTCGTAAATTTACAATAGTTACGAAGGTGACGTGAAAACCCTCAATGTGACGATGACGTGCAAATCTGAAACGCTTTGTTTTTAAGAGGCTACAATTACTGGGATCATCGTTGGAATTTTAACAGGAAATGGTTTTTTGATGGATTCCAATTTTTGAAATTTTGTGCATACTTATTTTAGAATTATTGGTAAATGAACCCCCGTACTCAGAACAGTCTCAGTGACAATTTTTTGCTGCCACATTATTCCCATGCAGCTTTCTGATGTATATTCGCCAAACAAGAAACTAAAGTCAAATCAAAGTGACACTTTTACACCGAGAGGAATAAAAGATTACATTTTTCAACATCAAATTCAAATCGGGACGAGGATTTTATTACGATTGCATTCTTCTCGCTGGAAAACCCGAGAGGAAAACAAATGTAATCTCATTTACTATCCAATCCTCTTGTCAGTCTGGTTAAATGGATATTGCGTAGACTTCGCTCTTCTCGACAGGGTTTCGTACACTCCAACCAAAACGAGATGCTACCGACACAGTGTAAATTTCAAATTCAGAAATACAGATTTTTGCCAATTTTGATAGAACTTTGAAATACGTTTATAGAGAAAATTGTGAGAAGTCTATGAGAAACGCATTCCTTGGTAATAATGAAGGTATTCACTGTTTCTTCGTATCCTTCGTATCGTAAAATATATTACTGAAAAGAATAGGGGGTTCGTAAAAATCGTGAGATTAGTAACGAGTTTCGATGACAAAGTCTTACGACGTTTACAAAATCTCGTAACCGTCATATTAATTTACGATACGAAGATTGCAAAGGATTCAAAAATAATATAATCAATACCCTCATTGTAAAATCCGTAAATTCTACAAGCTTACAAATTTTTTACATATTTGTGGGGGAAATTACAAATAACTTATAAATTTTTATCAACTTGCTCAGATCAAGGACATCTTTTTATTTTGTAGAAGTTTATAAAATTATTTTATAAAACGTGTACATTTAATAAATTATCAATAAATTTTGCGGCCTTTATATTTCCCATAAAATTTTTGTTCATAATTTTTTTTCATAAAAATCAGTTCTCACATATTTAAATGTGTAGCTGAACAAAACAACGATATTATTAGGATTAATATGTGTACGTAAACAGTATCGCATCTAATCTTATTTTAAATAACAATATTTAACTAATTATATTTTTCGACTTATAAAATATTCGTTTTTCGTACGTTTTACAAATTTTGTTATAAGCAGGTTTCAAAATAAAGCTAAGATTACAAACACTGGTCACATTTCGTCTAAATTTATCGCATTCTCCACTTTTCATGGAGTTTACGATGTTGTACTTTATTGTGCTTTCCTTTGTTTGGTGAGGAAAAAGCAGTCCTGAGAAATAAATGGGACAATAACCAATCTGGTAATTTGGGCAAATGGAAATATACTGCACTTTTCCTACTTT